CTTGCAGGCTGGCTGCACCCTGGGCTGGGGAAGGGGAGAGGGTTCCCTTCTCCTGATTCACCCCCAGCATCCTCTCCCTGCGACCCCCCCTCACGCCTCCGACCCCCCTCTTGGCTCCTCTCCCTGCAGCCCGGGGCCACTGCCGTGCCCCAGCGCCCACCATGGCCACGGGCGAGCTGACCGAGCTGGAGGTGGCCATTGAGAAGATCGTCACCGTCTTCTTCACCTACGCGGAGAAGGAGGGCAAGAAGGGCACGCTGACGGTCGGCGAGTTCAAGGAGCTGGTCCAGGTCCAGCTGCCCAACCTGATGAAGGTGAGGCGAGAGGCAGCCCGTGGGGGGCAGCTGGATCCCCGTGGGTCCCCTCCCCGAGCTGGGGGGGCTGCTCCCGGCACCCTGGGATTTGGAAGCAGGAGGGAGCAGCAGCAGCCCCTGCTCCTACCCCCAGCCCCCAGCCCGCTTGTTGGGGGCCGGGACATGGCCGAGCCTCCCCCATCGTCCCCGCAGGACGTCCCCTCCCTGGAGGAGAAGATGAGCGAGCTGGACGTGAACCATGACGAGGAGCTGAAATTCGGCGAGTACTGGCGGCTGATCTGGGCGCTGGCGAGGGCCATGCGGAGGGAGAAAGCGGGGAAGAAGTGATGGGGCTTGTGGGGAGACTTGGCCAACGCGGAGCTAATAAAAGAGGTTTCCCCGAGCCTGAGCATCGCTGCTGTCCTCGATTTAGCTCTCGATTTGGGCAGCCAATCTCCTTCCCTGCCCGCATCCGCCCGTGCCCGCGCGGTGCCCAGGGACCAGCCCAGCACCACGAGGCGGGGGGACGGGGGGGGTTGGGTCTCGCTCTTTGTTGGGGAACTTGGGATGGATGGGGCCATTCCCAAATCGCCCTTGCCCTTGGGCTGGCTTGCAGGGTGCCACCCTGTGCCCCCACAAACGCCTTCCTGCCGGGATGTGGGGTTGCTTGGTGCAACCCCAATGGGTGGCAGAGATGTGGCTGCGACCAGGGTGGGGCTCGGGAGCATCTCCGGCAGCGATGCCGCGGTA